GGGTGCACTTTGCACGCAGGCAGTGCGGCCTTATTTCTGGGTGACGTGTGCTCTGTGGTTTCTGTCAAGGAGCCTCCCTTTCCTGACCTCACTCTCTCTCCCCGTTTCCCTACTCTGCCTCCTGCTGCGCTCACCGTGGTTAGAGCTCTGCCTGTGCGCTCCTCGCCGCACCCTCCCAGGGCGCTTCTCTGCCCCTTCCTTTCTGTACTCGCTCCTGTCCCCCCGGTCACAGTCGGTTACAGATCCCAAACTAGCAGTTAGCATTTTGGTGGACATGCATAATTGGCACATATATTAAACCTTATATTAAAAAACACAGACCTCGTGGTGACCTTGCTTTATATAGACTTGTTTTTCCTAGTCTGGAAATGTGACCAGCCAAGATAAATTTCCTCCTTTCCACTTTGCAGCAGACTCCTTTGCAGCGAGCTCCCTTGGCCCTTTGAGAACCTAGGGAGGCCCAGCAGCCTGAGGGCCCATCAAGGACAAATGCATAGTGAGATGAAAGTTGGGAGCTTTTTAGGAATTTGAGAAACTCTTGGAAATGACTGGGTTTCACCTAGTGAAGTTGTGTGTGTGTGTGTGTGTGTGTGTGTGTGTGTGTGTGTGTGTGGAGTATTGAACCCAGGACCTTCAGACTGAGCTACATCCAGCCCTAAATTGCCCAGGCTGGGTTTGGGCAATCCTCCTGTCTCAGCCTCCCAGAGTGCTAGGAATATAGGCATGTACCACCATGCCTGGCTTGGTCGGGAAAATTATGCTGAAATTGAACTTGATTCTCAGATAAATGGCTTGGTTTGGGGTGTTGTTTCCCATTACCATCATCCTGTGTTAGCTGGGGAGAGTCAGTACCAATTCTTAATTATTGCACATTCTGATTCTCTCACAGCAGACTGAATACAGCTGTGCACCTTCCCTGCAGAGGCTGGAAATCAAAACAGAGTTTTAACGGAGCAGCTGGAAGCTTTAAATTATTCATGCGTTTGGGAATAACTGTAAAACCTTCTACCTACTAAATGTCCCATCTCCTCAACCTTGCACATTTAAAAAACATTCTGCTTCCTTTTTCCAAGTGTCTTACTTTCCTCTCATTGCTGAGACAAAATACCTGACGCCCAAAATTAGGAAAGGTTTATTTAGCACACAGTTGGTGGAGCTTTCAGTCCATACTCGTCTGGTTCCAAGGTAGGGTGGCACATGGCAGAGGAGGACAGCAAAAGCAGGAAGAGTGCAGAAGGGAGGAGTGCAAAACGGGAAGCAAGCCTCTTTCCCTCCCTTTTATTGTATTCAGGCCACCCGCTAGAGTGGGTATAGCACTCACACCCCTAATCCCAGCACTAGACAGTGAATCAGTCACAAACTCTAGATTCAGCCACCTCCAAAAATCTTGCCCCCCATGACTACTTGTGGCTTTGTGGGGGCATCCAGATACAAACCGTAACATCAGGTGACATCAACTCCGTAGGTGCTATAAGCCCAGGAATACTGCAGACTTCCACTGTGCGTCCAGAGAGTGGATCCTGTTAACCCTGCTCCGTGTTTGGCCCAGGGAAAGCGGTCTTCAGGCCTGGGTGAGCAAGGCTGGTCTGTGACGTTGTATCAGGTGCTGCAGGAATCCTGGAAGCGTACAGGACAGTGTGTAGTCTTCTCTTTTCTTCATGTCATAGGTTACTGACTTGAATTTTTGTTTTTGTTTTCTTTCTTGAGTTTTAATTGCATTTTGTTGGGAGCTTTAATTATCTTCCACTAGGGAACCTCCCTGACTGGTGCATTTTCTCTGCATTTTCTTTTTTTTGTACCGGGAATCGAACTCATGACCTTGCACTTGCCAGGCAGGTGCTTGTGCCACTGAGCTATATCCCTGGCCAACAGAACATGAGGTTGAGTTCTGCATTTTTTTTTTTTTTTTTTTTGTGGTACCGAAGATCGAACTCAGGACCTTGTGCTTGCCAGGCAGGTGTGTGTGCCTCTGAGCTATATCCCCAGCTCAGGCTGGTGCATTTTCATCCTGCCCTTTCCTGGATGTGTAAAAGGCTGAGGGATGCTTCACTGCCTTTCTGGGCTCTCCTGGCTGACCTGGCCTTGGTGACATTTTCTTTTCATTCTTTGCTGACATGTAGTGCTAGGGATTGAACCTAAGGGCTATATTCCCAGCCCTGTTTTATATTATTCTATTTTATTTTTATTTTCAGATCCAATCTCACTAAGTTGCCCATACTTCCCTTGGATGTGCATTGCTCTTTCCTCAGCCTCCTAGTCACTGGGATTACAAGTATGTACTACCATACCAGGCTCCTGGGGACAGTTTTTGGCACATACATTGTAATATAGGGTATTAAATTCTGAATTTTCTTCTTCATTAAACTGGTCTATGAAAAAATAAAAATACACTGAATTCTATGTTTAAGGAATTTCCTACACTTGGAAAGAACCAGTGTTCGCGAACGAGGGCTTTTTTAGAAACCTTGGAAGAAGTCTGAAGTGACTTCCTGCACCAGGAGCTGTGAGTGTGTGTGGATCGTGCTGCTGCTGCTGGCAGCTGCATTCCCTGAGCACTCCGAGCTGCACTCCCTGAGCTGCACTCCCTGAGCACTCACCCGAGCCACTGGCCAGGTCACTCATCCAGCCTCCTAGCAGATCTGGGAGGTAGATTGTTACATCCCCAATCTCAGAGGTGAGGCCCAAAGCATTAGGTCTTTTTAATATGTTGGAAGTGGCCAAGGCTGGCTCCAGGGTTCATTCTCTGGACCCCGGCATGGCCACTGTCACGTGCAGTGCACATTTTATAGGTAGTCTCTGGGACCTCTGCGTCTCGGAGGTGACAAGCTGCGCACTTTGTGTCTGACCCAGTGGCCTTGGACAGATTTGAGGCTCAGTCCTAGGCTGTGGGTTTGCAGTGGCACTGAGCACCAGCTGCAGTTTCCAGGGTGATGAGAAGGTCCCGGTCCCCAAGGCTGAGCCCTGCTGTCCTTCCCTGTGCCTTCTCCCGCTTCTGCTTATGCTAGGAAGTGGCTGATTTGGGCAAGTGAGGGTATCCCACCAGGAAGCCTGCCTTATAAGGACCTGGGTTGCAGTGAGAAAAAACTTTCCCAAGCAGCCACATGGCTGGATTGAAATCTACCCCCTCATTCGTTATGTGAAAGTTGTGAGCTGCACTTACGCGGTACCTCCCCGTGCTTTCTGCCATCTTGTGCAGTTGTCTGGCACACTGTGCCAATAGACCGGCAGTCCTTCCGGCCCCCAGCAGTAAACCCGCTTGCCCTCAGGACACCGCATCTCTGCTTTCCAGAGTTGGGCCTGGGAAGGACCCTAGGCAGCACCTGCAGAACCCCAGCATGACACAGGTAATGGGGCCAGCTCTGCACCTTACTGAGCCAGGTGCCAGATGAAGGACCCTGGGTCCCAGTGGGTACTTGGGGCTTGGCATGACCTACAGGACAGAACTCAGTACTTTTGCTGGGCACACAGATGGTGCCAGTGGCACTGGGTTGAAATTGTGGCACTCAGGTGCCAGTCTCCTTGTTCATCTGTTACGGGCTTGCCTCAGTGGAACAGTGGGGGATGCGTAGTGGGTAAAGTGACAGCTGATGGGAAGGTCATTTTACAGCCCAGGAGTGTTAATTTTTTACGGTAATCAAGAACTTGGATATATTTGGAAAGGTGGATGAAAAATTAATTACTAAACTGTAGTGGAAATGACAGTTGAAGTTGGAGCAGAATCCTTTTGCAGAGTTGACTTAGATTAGGACAGCCACCCTGAACGTGAACTTCAGGATCAAAGCAATTAGTACATAGGTGAATGGTGGAGATATGCAGTGTGTCTGGGCTTACAGCACCTGCAGAGTTGATGTCATCTGCAGAAAGGAAGTGGAATGCTTTTAAATGTGCAGAGTTCAGGAGATGGGACGTTTAGTAGGTAGGTGGCTTTACATAGTTATTCCCAAACTCTTGAATAATTTAAAGCTCCCAGCTGCTTCGCTAGAACTCTGTTCTGGATTCCCAGCCTCTTCCTTCCTGCAAGGGATCATTGTGCTAACACCACAGTCCTGTGTGTGGACGAATGGCTCTGGAGAACAGTGATATCCTCACTGGCTCATCCCTGACTTTAACTCTGTGTCTCTCTGCTTACTTGTTGCTTTGGTCATAGTTCCCAGGTGAGTAATGAGGACCTAAGGAGGCTTGGGGGAAATAAGGAAACTAGGGTGGTGTGAAGAAATGGTTACGTTTCCTGAACACTTGACCACACTGTTGCACAGACACTTGTGTAGCCTCCTAATTTCACGTGGCCCGCCGTGGCGAACGCCAGTTGAGACCGTGTCGTGTGCGTGGCAGGGCACCATGCTCACCAGCCGGTCTGTGCTCACCCTTAGCACAGACAAACATCCTGCACCGAATTCCCCTTGGTGTCCGTGGGGCCTGTGGCCAGACATACCTCGTGGGGCCGGGGGTTTAGCTCAGTGGCGAAGTGCTTGCCTGGCAAACATGAGGTCCTCAGTTCGATTCCCAGCCACCCCCTACAAAAAATACTTTGTGGCCATCGTGGATCGCACGGCTGCCCTACCAAGAAACATCTCTCCTCCGAGTGTCTGCTTAGAGGGGTGCATGAATCTGTATGATTTCCTTTTCCCTTCTTATTTTTTTACTTTTACTTTTTTGGGCTTTTTGAGACTGTCTTTCTGTAATTATATAGTCCCAACTGGCCTTGAACTCACTATGTAGCCCAGGCTGGCCTTGAACTCACAGCGATCCTCCTGCCTCAGCCTCCCAAGTGCTGGGATTACAGGTGTATGCCACCATACTCGATTTATTTTTCCTTATCTTTAAAAAAACTTTTGGGGCCAGGATTGCCTCGGTTACTTTTCTCTCATTGCTGAGACAAAATACCCAATGCCCAAAATTAAGGAAGGAAAGGTTTACTTAGCTCACAGTTTGTGGCTCCAGGGCAGGGTGGCAGGGCACAGGGCCACAGTCCAAGGCCGCAGAAGACAGCAAAAGTAGCAAGAGCAAAAAGGGGATGAAGCAAGCCTCTTTTCCCTCCTTATATTGTGCACAGCCTGCCCCCTCTGAGCTGGGTGGTCCTTTGCACCCACACCATCTCTGTGCCCTCCTCTTGCACAGGCTCAGGATGAATACAAACTAAGGACCCTGGCTCCCTGCTGAGTCACATAGTTGAACTTCTAAACTTCTCGAGTTGACACAGTTAACAACATCCCAGAGCTGCAAGGGCGTGTCCTTTTTGCCCGGGGGATATAGAATGCTGAGTTACTTAAGCTTCTAGACTCAAGTTGACACAGTGTATCAACCATAACAGGGACATAGCTCAGTGGCACAGCACCTTTCTTGGCAAGTTCAAGGTCCTGAGTTCGGTTCCTGGTACCAAAAAAAGATTTTTTTTTTCTCACCAATACTCAGGGATTGAAAATGACAACAGGCTTGATGTATGTTTCTGAAGGAGAGTCAGGAGAATTGGATGAGTGCTGATAGCTGCCGTGTCCTGTGGCACTTGCCAGGTCACTGAGCCCTACACTGAATGACGCACTCGTCTTGATCGTGGAGGGGCACGTTGAGGCTGTGGTGTTACTGTCTGCTCAAGTCAGAGCAGTGTGGGAAGACAAGGGCCGCAGGTCCCAGCAGTGAAACGATGCTAGGCCTGGAGGAGCGCTGCTGTGGACACCAAGCGGAGGTCTGGAAGGGAGGTCGGGGATTTGTATCAGTTACGGGAGCAACCTCGGCAAGTTCCTTGTGTTTCCTACGCTGTCGCTTACTGATTTGGTTTCGGGTCTTCTAGGAAGAGTCTACTGAAGAGGACGGCCATGGACTTGATCACCTCTACAACCGTCCTGCCCTTGCTGCTCGGCTGCCTGGGCATCTTCGGCCTCTTCCGGCTGCTGCAGCGGGTCCGCATGAAGGCCTACCTGAGGAACGCTGTGGTGGTGGTCACAGGTGCCACCTCAGGCCTGGGGAGAGGTGGGTCGGGGTCAGCGCTACTGGGTGTGGAGAGCAGGCGGGACTGGGGGGAGGCAGGCGCACAGGAGCTGCAGGACATGTGAACAGCCTGCCGCTGTCCTTGGGTCCAGTTGGGAAAACGTAGGGCCTTACACAGTGGGAAGTGGCCCTGACTGCGTGAGCAGTAAAGAGGACCGCACGGTGTGTTGACAGGCAGCCTAACTTAGCCCCGGCTGCTTCCTGAAAGAGGGTTTTGATGTGAAGTCTGATTTTCAAATGTGGACAACTAATTTAACAAGTATTTTTACCTCTGTGAGGACCAAATGAGCAGACTTTCTCCTGGGTTCAGCCAGCACCTCAGCCTGGCATGACTTTAGAACACACCCTCCCCACACCTTCTTCTCTTTCCCTTCCTGGGCTCAGCAGGGTCAGAGACAGGACAGTCGAGGCCTCACCTGTTCCTTTACCAGGTTCTCCACGTTAGGTACATTCCTCTTCCGTGACACCTTGAGCTTTTGAAGTCTGGGCGTGGTGTGCTAGGACACAGACCTGGGTCAGTCAGACTCCTGGCCTTTGCCGAAAAGCCCACACAGTGCATTGCAGAGCTGTCATGGGTCCTGGTGGCGGAGGCCAAGGACACATGGTGTGAGGTCCCCACCCTCCTTCCTCAGTCTCTGCACACACCACAGTGGTCCCACCCACACTTAAGTGTACTTCCGGGAAGAGGCTGAGGAGCTCTGGGAAATGTGATAGGCCGCCTGCCACTGCATGCTTTGGTTGGTGCCGGCGTAGCTGGTGCCCACTGAGCGTCTGCTGAGAGCCAGGCTCCAGGCCAGGTGCTGGGCAAACACGTGAGGCTTGGGTCCCCGGGGCTGGGGGCATGGCTTAGTGATACAGGTTTGGCCAGCATGCGAGGCCTTGTGTTCCATCCCGAGCACTTCAGTAACAACAGAAAAACAAAGTTAGTAACGACAGGTCCTTCTGTTAAGAAGTCACAGTTTGCTGCAGCAAGGCAAGGATTTAGCTGTGCTATTTTAGTCGTGGAAGTGTCCAATCAGGTCTGATCAGAAGAATCCCAGTTCTGTGTGCTTGCTTGTGTCAAGCACGTTTAAGTGTGTGATCTCACTGAATTCTAACACTTGAGATTCAGAGGTTTGACTTTTGCCTGAGGACAGTGGTGGCGAATCTGTGGCACACGTGTCACAGTGAGCTGTTTGTTATCACTGAAAGCTCTAAAAGATTTGCCATCACTACCCTAGGACTTCAACCCAGAAAGCACAAAGCTGAGAATCAAACCCATGTCTCTTGGACTGCAGAACTCAGTATTTTTTTTTTTTTTTTTTGAGACAGAGTCTTACTGTACAATTTAGGCAGGTCTTGAACTCACTGTGTAGCCCAGGCCATCCTCAAACTCACGGTGATCCTGCTATTTTAGCCTCCGAGTGCTAGGGTTATAGGCATGTGCTATTGTGCTCAGCCCAGCTAGAGCTCAATTTTAAAACCTTGCCTAGGCGGAGATGGCCCTGTAAAAGGAAGGTGTGGCCAGGAAGGAAGGGAGGGCATTCATGAGGGAGCAGCGGGGTGGCACAGGGAGCTGTGAGCAGCCGGGTGTTAGATGAAAACGAAGAAGCAGACAGGGCCGTGTCTGTGGATTAAGAGGCTGCCCGTAGCTGAGGGAACCTGGGAGGACTGCACAGGGAGTGTGGGTTCATTTGTACACCACTGTGGCTATTAGGTCTTCGGGGGTGAGTCCTGAGTCTGTCACTGGATATCCAGAGCTTTGAAGGGACAGCTGCCTCCTGGCCCTTTGCCATTGGTTGGGCCTCTGACCTTACTCAGCTTATATAAATAGGATAGTCAGCAGCTGCTTCTTGATCTCAGAGAAAGCAATTTTTAAAAGTCCTTGAAGAGTATTTGAGAGTGGCCTAGCACAGAGTCACCAGGGGGCTGCAGGTGTCTCCATGTGTGGATGTTCAGGCAGACATTGTCCTCTTCATTATTCTGCATCTACTTGCAACCCCAAGACTGTGAACACAGTGGGGAATGTAGTTGAGGAACCAAGCCTGTACATGTAGTACGTGGCGTTCGGCCTTTCCTGGGTCCCAGCCACTCTGCTTATGTTCTGCCTCGTCTAGCGTCCTAAGGGTAGGAGTCCCTCTGTGCAGATAAAGTGGGACTCTGACACCCACTGCTGGTGCCACCAAGGACGTGCTGCAGTGCCCGGCCTCTGTGAGGAGCGGGCCGCACTGTGGTCAGCGGCTCTGCCTGCCGTGTCATTGTGCTGTGGGGGCGGGGCTTCGTGACGCGTCTGCAGACCGCGTTCCTATTCCTCCTACCTTTTCTGCATTTCGTGCGTTGAAGCTGCAGGGAGTTTGTTCTTGTAGAGTAGTAACACTGTTGACTCGCCCTAGAATGTTCTGGATGCTGACTTTAGCCAGGCTGAAGCACAGAGCTGTGCACAGCTGTTCTGAGTTACAGCCCAGGCATGCTGGCAGCACCAGGGACGCCACTGCAGCCCTAGATAACTGCCACCTTGAAACTGTTAGCCTCTTCCCCTTGGCTCTCCTTGCCCTCTGCATCAGCCTTTTCAGGAAAAGAAGATGAGTCTTGCCAATCTGTTGTTTTCATTTCTCTCATGCCCTACAGAAACTTTAATTTCCTCCCCTTGGCTTTACTAAGAAGCAAGACTTAAGTGGAATTTGGGTGATCACTTTCCAGAAACTGTTTATACACTAGCCGGCCTCCCAGCCTTTGATGCTTTGTGTCTGCACCTTTTGGTGGCATCTCACAAAATACCCTTTTTTTTTTTTTTTTTTTTTCTTTTCTTTTTGAGACAGGGTCTCGTTATGCAGTTCAGGCTGGCCTTGGGCTCACTTTGTAGCCCAGGCTGGCCTCGAACTGACAATGATCCTCCTGCCTCAGCCTCCTGAGCGCTGGGATTACAGGCGTGCACCACCACGCCTGGCCTCACAAAATATCCTGTGTTGGTTAGGACAGGACAAAGTGAAGTGAGGAAGCCAACAGGGCCAAGGTTCCCGATCTTTGGGAATGGTTCAGTAAACCAGATGACGAGTTCTAGCCTCGGTGTATAGCACGGTATGAGGCCTACACCATGGTCACTCTTGTGAGGCCTTTGCTGCTTTGCTGAGAATGTACTATGGCCAGACCAGGCCAAGCTACATAGACATAGGCAGGAGCAGACTTCTCATTTTGTCTGCTTAGTGCTTCCTTCCAGAAAACTGTCTGAGGGTGTGAGAGACGTAGGCACAGGATGCTGAGTGAAAGCTGTGCGCAGGGATGAGGGGGAGCAGGAGTGCTGGTGGCAGGTGCAGCTGCAGAGAGGACTCCATGCCCAGAGACAGGCAGGCAGCACAGTACCTTCTTCCTGTGGTGCCTGCGTCCTGAAAGACACTGGAATTTGGACTCCTTTCCTGTTAGCCTTCTGGAGTTAAGGAAACTTGACATTTCTGTGAGGGAAGGAGTGTTCAGATCCAACACACACTGCCTATACCCTGTAACCCTGACCCCTCCCGGCCAAGCAGGTGATGACTGACGCCTTGCCAAGCCCTTGCACCACGGCGTCCAGAGAGGGAATTCCCTGTAGGGCGGGCCTGGCCCTTCCAGGAGCAGGAGGGCTAAGGAGCCACTTGACCATCTGGGCCTGTAAGGTTTGGTGCAGTCAAGGCCCAAGGTGTCCCCAGAGCTTCTCTTACGCATTTGTGGAGACTAGCCCTCAGGTAATAACCTTTCACCCACATGCCAAAGCCTTCATCTGCAAGTTTTAGACCATTTTTAAAGGGTAGTTTAGAAATACTAAAATACTAATAAGTAGTAAAAACAAGTACTATTAAAAACAATTACCTCATAGTGCTTTTTATCTCCCAGTATTGTAGAAAGGATTCATTACATTAACTTATTCAGTCTCACAGTTTTTCCTGAACTAGACACTGTTTTTATGTGCATCTTAAGGAAGAGGAAAATGGGGGGGAAAAGGTAATTTATTGGACATCATAGAACCAGTAAGCATGGCTGGGCATGGTGGTGCACACCTATAATCCCAGCACTCAGGAGGCTGAGGCAGGAGGATCGTTGTGAGTTCGAGACCAGCCTGGGCTACAAAGTGAGCTCAAGGCCAGCCTGAGTGGCATAGTGAGACCTGGTCTCAAAAAGACCAAAAAAAAAAAAAAGAACCAGTGAGCATGGGCAGTCACAGTTGACACAGGAGGTCCCTTTTTTGACCACTACACTTCACTGCTTCTCCAGAGCTAGAAGTTTTTAAGGCTGAACAATTAGCTGGGACATACTTGGGAGCAAGGCAAGCAAGTGACATCCCCCTGGGACTCTGCTCCCCCCACATTCACAGCTCCATCCTAGGGCTCTCCTCTCCTCCCATTCCCCTCAGCACCCCGCTCCCAACGCTTGGCCTCCCAACACCCCACAGCATTTTGCTGCCTGAACCCCACCTTCAGATTAGCAGAGCCTAGACCGGCGTGGTGGCGCATGCCCGTAATCCCAGCACTCGGGAGGCTGAGGCAGGAGGATCCTTGCAAGTTCAAGACCAGCCTGGGCTGCAAAGTGAGCTCAAGGCCAGCCTGAGCAGCATATCGAGACCCTGTCTCAAAAAGACCCAAAAAAAAAAAAAAAAAAAAAAAAAATTAGCAAAGCCTTTGACTTCTACTTTCTGTCCTAGCATCCTTTGCCCCTGGCCCTTTGGGTACTAAACACATTCTATTCCCCTGCCTGGAGCATTCTCTGGGAAATAGCCCGCTGCTAGGATCCAGAACTCCAGAGAAGGACTCGCCAAAAACCCCTTCTCATAGTCCTCTGCCCTGATTTTCTGCAGAGCAGCCCATGTCCCCCATAGGTCTGTGCTGATGGCATGTAGGTGTCTTAAGGAGCAGGTCACATAGAGGGGGAACGCAGCCTCTTTGGACTGCAGAGTGGTGACAGCCAGCCCTGCCTGTCCTAGCTCGTTGGGACGAGTTCCTTGCCTGACCATTGGGAACATCACTAGCTGAGCTGCTTCACCTCTGAAAATGCAGGTTATGCTCAGGGTTGTTCAGGGTTAAATAAAAGCTTCAGGGAAAGTCCTAAGCCTCATATGACACACATTTGCCTGTCCCTCTCACCGTCCTCTTTGCCTGCTGGATGTCTGTCACACTTTCTGTCACTCCTCTGGACAGGAGCCCTACCTTGGGCCCTAAATCCTAGCTCCACACTGGTTCGCAGCACCCACCAACACATGGGGGTTACACGAAGAGATGGACCTGTGCTGTGCAGTGTTGGGAGGCTTCGATTGCACTGGCGAGGAATATCACTGGTTATCTTCAGCTGTCGCGGTTCTCTTCCCTTAGAATGTGCCAAAGCCTTCTATGCTGCCGGTGCTAAGCTGGTGTTGTGTGGCCGGAATACGGATGCCCTCGAGGAACTCGCCCGAGAGCTCACGGCCTCTCGTTTCCCACAGGTGAGCAGGGCATAACTGCCCGGGAAAGCGCTGCAGTCTGCCTGCACAGACCCCCGAGGAGCCAGTGCTCTGCTCCTGGGTGTCCACGTGCTCGTGCTGTACCAGGGAAGGCAGCAAGGCTCTCGGTGAAGGGTGGCCAGGCTCCATGCGTGGCTGCCGACCAGCTGTGAGGAGTCCTGTCTGTGAGAGTGCTCTCCCTCTTTTCTCGCCTTGGGGAGGGGTTGGCATGTCTAAAATTTTAATTGTCTTGAACATGTACATATTTATCATTTTAATTGTTGTTTTACAACAAGTACCCCATCTCTACCCAAAACTTTTGTAACATTCCCAATAAAAATTCCGTACCCATTAAACAATGACTGGAAACCTGGAAACCTGTCTTCTACTTTCTGTCTCTAGGAATTTGCCTACTCTAGAGACCTCCTATAAGGGGAATCGTACAGTACTTGCCCTTTTATGACTGGCTTATTTCACCTAGAACAGTGTCTTCAAATTTCACCCGTGCTGTACTGTATGTCGGCATCTCCTTCCTGAATAAGATACCATTGTGTGAGTATAGTATATATTGTCTACCCATGCATCTGCGAACACCTGGATTATTTCTGCTTTTTTACTACTGTGAGCGGTCCTACTGTGAACAGTGGTGTGCAAGGTGTTTGAGTTTTTGCTTTCAGGTTTTGGACCTATACTATGAGGGCTCATCAGATGACATGGTAGCTTCCTGTTTAACCTTTCGAGGAGCCGCCAAGCTGTTTCCACCACAGCTGCAGCATTTTACGTTCCCGTCCGCAAGGCCGAGGACTTCAGCTTACCATGCTTGTTCTTTCCGGTTCTTGTCTCTTCCACAACGATAGCCGTCTGCTAAGAGACACGAAGTGATTTTTCATCGTTGTTTCCATTTCCATTTCCCTAATTACAGATGATAGTGCGGATCTTTTCATTTGCTTATTTGCCATTTATATATCACTAGAGAAATGTCTATTCAAGCTCTTTGCCCCACATCCCTTTTTTGTCTTCTTGAGACAGGGTCCCACTATGTAGTTCAGGCTGGCCTTAAGCTCACTTTGTAGCCCAGGCTGGCCTTGAACTTGCAGTGATCCTCCTGCCTCAGCCTCCCAAGTGCTGGGATTACAGGCATGTGCCACTACACCTGGCTTGCCCATTTCTAAATCAAGTTGGTTTTTTTATTGAGTTTAAGAGTCTTTTATGTATTCTGCATATTAATCCCTACCAGATACGGTATTTTCTCTCATTTGATAGATTGTCTTCACTTTCGTGATAATGTCTTTTCATCCAAAAGTCTGTAATTTGGAGGAAATATAGTTTATCTATTTTTTTTCTTTTGTTTGCCTGTACTTTTAGTGCTAGATCCATAAAACTGTTGCCACATCCAATATCATGAAAATTTTTCCTAGTTTTTTTCTATGAGTTTTACAGTTTTAACTCTTACACTTAGGTCTTTGATCTATTTGAGTTAATGTTTATATATGTTATTAGGTATGAGAATAACTTCACTCTTTTTTTTTTTTTTGGGGTACTGGAAATCTAACTCAGGACCTTGCACTTGCCAATCAAGTGCTTGTGTCACTGAGCTATATCCCTAGCCCCATTCTTTTGCATGTGGATATCTACTTGCCCTAGAACCAGGTATTAAAGACTATCACTGAAGGGTCTTAGCACCCTTGCCAAAAATCAGTTGATCATAAATTTGAAGGTGTATTTCTAGGCTAGGCTAGACTGTTGGTCTGTATGTTTGGCCTATGTCAGCACAATGCTGTTTTAATTACTGTAGGTTTGTAATAAGTTTCAAAGGTAGGACATATGAATATTTCAGCTGTGTTCTTTTTCAGGATTGTTTTGGCTATTCAAGGCTCACTCCAAACTCATGTGAATTTCTAGGTTTTTTTTTTCTATTTCTGCAAAAAATGCCACTCAGATTTTAATAGGAATCACACCTCACTTTGGGTAGTATTGTTAAATTCACAATATTAAATCTTCTAACCTATGAATGTGAATGTCTCCCCATGTATCTGTGTCATCTCTAATTTCTGCTAGCTGTACCTTAGAGTCCCCAGTGTGCACACTCTTTGCCTCCTTGGCTAGGCTATTCTTCAATACTTAGTTCCTCTAACTGCTGTTGTAAACGGAGTTGCTTTCCTAATTTCCTTTTCAGAGTATGCATTGCCCCAAATGGAAACACAGGGTTTTCTAAATTTTGTTTTATTTATTTATGTATTTATTTATTTTTGTCTTTTTGAGACAGGGTCTCACTGTGCAGTTCAGCCCAGGCTGGTCTCGAACTCACAGTGATCCTCCTGCCTCAGCCTCCCAAGTGCTGGGATTACAGGCATGTGCCACCACGCCTCGCTATTTATTTATTTGGAGACAGGTCTTGCTTTGTAGTTCAGGCTGGCCCTGAATTCTCTAAGTGATCCAGGCTGGCCTTGAACTTGCGATCTTCCAGCCTCAGCCTCCCAAGTGCTGGGATTACAGGTGTGTGCCACCATGCCCCGCTACACAGCTGGTTTTTATGTGTTGATCTTCTACCCTGCAGCTCTGTAGAGTTTGTTAGTTAGCTCTTAATAGCTTTCGTGGATTTGCTGGAATTTTCCATCAAGAGAATCAGGTCATGTGCAAACAGAGATAGTTTTACCTCTTCCTTTCCAGTTTGAGTGGCTTTTCTTTCTTTGCCTTATCTAACTGTTCCAGTAGTTAGATAAGTAGGTACCCTTGTTCCTAACTTGAGCAGAAAGTGTTCAGTCTTTACCATTGAATATGATGTTACCTCTGGAGCTTCCATGAACACCCTGTGCCATGCTGGTGGATTTACACTCCATTCTTAGTTATCACATGTATTTATCATGGAAGGGTGATAAATGTTGTCAAGTCTCATTTCTATAGCAGTTGATTTTTGTGTATTTTCCTTTTATCATTCTATTAATGTGATTTATTACATTGACTGATTTTCTGATGTTGAACCATCCTTGCATTCCTGGGACAAATCCCTTTGGTTATAGTAAATGATCCTTTTAATATGCTGTTGAACTCAATTTACTAGTATTTTGTTAGAGACTTTTGCTTATAGATTGGCAAAGAAAATGGATCTATCATTTTCTTGTGATGTTTTTATCTGGCTTTGATATAAACGTAATGTTGGGCTTGTGGAGTGAATTGAGAAGAGCTTTCTCCTCTCCAGCTCTTTTGAAGAGTATTAGAATGATGGGTGTTTCTTCTTGACCATTTGGTAGCATTCACATGAAGCCAAATGGTCCAGCACTTAATCTTTATTGCAGATTTTTTGACTACTGACTGATTAAGTCTCTTCACCTGTTTTAAATTTGCTGAGATTTTCTATTTGTGTGTTCCAAGGAATTTGTCTAATTTTTACAAGGCTATCTAATTTGTTGGCATATTGATTATCCACAGTATTGTCTCATAATCTTTGTTTAAAAAATACTGGTTCCCCCTTTCTCCCTGCAATACTGGGGATTAAACCCAGGGAGCATTGAGCTATACCCTGGCCCTTTCTCTTAAAAAAAAAAAAAAATACAATGACAGAATCTTGCTACGTTGCTCAGGTTCACCTCAAACTTATTCTCCTGCCTTGGCCTCCCCCATGTTTGGCTTTTTATTATCTTACCACTTTTTAAAATCTCTGAAAGGTTAACAGTAAGACCACACCTTGACTGATGTTAGTTATTTGCATCTCTCTTACTTTCTTTGTAAGAAAAGCTCTAGCCCATGTTTTTCAGTTTTGCTGGTTTTTTTTTTTTTGAAAGTAAGAGCCAACTTTTGGTTTCATTGGTGTTCTCTCATCTGTTTTTTACTTGCCTGATATCTTTATTTTCTTCCTCTGCTAGCTTTAAAAATGTTCAGTGTGCACATGAGAAGAATGTGTGTTCTGTTTTGGGCGGAGAGTCCCACGTCTGTCAGGCCTCACTGGATTACAGTGTTGTGCAGGTGTTCTCTTTCCTTACTGATCTTTGTCTGGTTGTTCCTTCATCAGCTTTGCATCAGTATGAAAAAAAATACATGAGAAAATCAACTTCAAAGGAAGAAAAGTTGGCTTTGACTCAGTTCAGAGGTGTCAGTCAGGGGTTCCTTGGCTGTGTTGCCTTTCAGCCTGTGGCGCAGTGGCGCATCATGGAGGGGAGTGTAAGGGGTGTTTGTGAAGCAACGCAGTGTGAGAGGGAAAAGGGCCAGGGTGCTGCTCCCCCCGGGCGCCTGCCCTGTGACCTCTGCAAGGTTCCACCCCTCCCATAGTGCATGGTCCTGGGACCAGCCCTGGAACTGAAGGGCCTTTGGAGGGGTATTTAAAATCCAAACCAGGGGCTGGGGATTTAGCTCAGCAGCATAGTGCCTGCCCGGTAAGCGCAAGGTCGTGAGTTCCATCTCCGGTACGGGGGGTGGGGTGGGGGGGCAAAAAAAAACCCAAACAAACAAAAATAAAATCCAAACCATACCAGTAGGGTATTGAAGTATCAAAATAGTATTGTTTCTTCCTAGTAGTTTTGCTTCATATATTTGGAGAGTATGACTGTAGCTACATAAATGTTTATGACTTGTTATATCTTCTTGTTGGAATGAATTTTTGTTATATAACATCCTTATTTGTGACCCCTTTTGATTTAAAGTCTGTTTTGTCTGATATTAGTATAGCTGTCCCAGCTGTTTTTTGTTACTATTTGCATGGAGTATCTTTTTTCATCCTTTGACTTTATACCTATTTGTGTTTTTAAGACAGGATCTCACTCCGTCTTTCAAGTTGGACTCAAACTCATGACAATCCTCTTTGAAATGTTTCAGCCTCATGAGTTCTGAGATTACAAGAATGTGCCACCATGCCTGGCTAAAACGAGCCTTTTATAGACAACATATAGTTGGATCATTTTTTGAAAAGTCCATTTTGACAATCTCTGTCATTTGATTAGAGTGTAATCTGTTTGCACTTAAAGTAATTACTGATGAGATACCTACTGGTATTTTGTGATGGAGACCAC